GGGCAAATGATTTCAAGGCATAGTACTTGGGAGAGAGTGTTAGAAAATGTTACATATTTATCATAAAAGGTCGATAAATATACACACTTATACACACGCAGCCCGGGGGGAGGTAAAACGCTCAGGGTACCGTGGAAGGGGTATAGAGCTAAGACTTAAATTCAGTGAAGTAATTTACCTAATCTTATGTTCATAGGTGTTGAAAATGGCCTCCGTCCTGATATATGGAGGAACATGATATTAAGTACACTCGTATGAACACCAGGAAAGATGAAGTGTCTTACCCAATCTCAGGTTCACAGGTAATGAAAATGATATTAATGCAGGTGTGCTTATAGATAAAACGAAAACGCGCAGTAGTTGTAAGAACATAATTTTAAGTATAGTAATGAACTCAGAATATTAGGAAATGGTGGGGGGGTGGAGAACCAGTCATATCATGGTAAGTCATCAGACACCCGGAACCATGTTGATGCTATTGGGTTACGACCGTCATATGTGATTCCTGGCAGGTGTGCAGGCCCAAGCCAGGTGTTTCTCCCATCGGGGTAACACTTGACATCAATCTCCTCCTCCTCCTCCTCCTCCTTCCTCCTCCTCCCTCCTCCCCTCCTCCCTAACCCTCCTCCTCCCTCCTCCTCCTCCCCAACCCTCCTCCTCCTAACCCCTCCTCCTCCCCAACCTCCGCCTCCTCCCCTCCTCCTCCCTCCCTAACCCTCCTCCCCTTCGTCCTCCTTCTCCTCCTACACCTCTCCTCCCATCCTCCTCCCTCACCCCCTCCTCCTCCCTCACCCCCTCCTCCTCATACCCTCTGTTGTTCCCTTCGCCTGTACCCTACAACCTACACCCTTATGAAAGAACACCGCCACCCTCGTATGCTGGCGCCGCTTTAAAAAAAAATCATGAAACCTTTCTTTTTATAAAATATTATGTTACCATCCCTGCAATGGTCTGAAGGTATAATATAAACGCAGCTTTCCTACATATCAACAATGTTTTAGTACACACGGTATACTAATACTTACAAACCATAAAACATATGTAATCCAACTTTTCGATCTTTCATATTTATTTTTTCCCTGGGAGTCGCTGCTGAGTGTCATGGGGCTGCTAGTAAGGTGATATATTGACTGTGTGTAATCATCACCAACAACTTTTATATGTATTTTTGCATGGCTGAAATGTGATTTTGTTTTAGTGATTTTTTTTCTTCTATTTGCTTCAATCTTCTGCCTCTTTATGCCTCATTTACATGTACCCCCTCACTAGTACACCTCTCATATCCGGATTACCCAACTCGAAACCCTCTCACATGCCTATACACCTACTCCTCAGATACAAGCCTCTCGCATCCTGGTAACCCTACTCAAAACGCTCTCACAAGCCTATTATCCCACTAAACACCATCTTACATACATAATCCTTTACTCTCAAAACCTTCTCATACATCTGCTTCTCAGATTTCAGACACACTTCCCACTCACTCTTCCTTCACACACCTAGACATTGATTTAAATCTATTCCCTCTCTATTTTTTGTTTGGGTTTCCTCCTTACTCCACACTCCTCAATATTTGTTTATCATACTAGCCTCCCTATTCCTACTGTATCCCTAACTGTGCATTTGCTTATCCACTAGACTTAAAATCTAAACCCACGCAATTAACTAAATCATTACTCCTCATTTCCATCCCGATAAATGTATGCTGTGTAGATGATCCTCCTGGTGATAAAATAGGCAATGTGATACAGTACGATTTTCAACTTTGGGGTTAATTACTCTAGCCGCTATGCTCTCGACTTAATACACACACACACACTCACACACGTTATCTGTCTCTTTCACGCGGGGCCGTTACTCCTATTACAATGCTTTCTCGTTCTACATTTCTATCACCTCGTTTCATACATCTGTTTTCTTCATTTGTTGATGAATTTACCATCTTCCGAGGGTATTGTAATCGAATCTGCGTCTGTGAGTGAGGGGGGGGGGTCAATCTGTCGAGGTCGGTAAGTTAGTCTACATAGGTAGTAGTAGATTAGAATGAGAACTCTGTGAAAAATGCAATGGATCTTGACTCGACGTGGCGGAAGAGGGTATACGAGGAGAATGCCAGGCCAGTTTGAGAAGAGAAACTCAAAAGGTAATTTTGGATTGATAATACATGAATACGTTTAAGGTGGGGGAGGGTAAGTCTTATGGCAGTTATCTTATTTCAGTTTACTCTCTAGTAGTCAATATCGGATCCAAACAACTCAGTGATTTTACTGTTGTCTTCAGGTCTTCCATCTCTACCGTGGTCTAGATCTTTTAGCTTAAAGTAAACAAACTTAAGGTCTTCAACTCTTACATATTTATTTTTAACGTCTACTCTAAGGAAGATTTGACTAATTTATTTCTGTATTTTCGTGTATATTCGTTTTCATACCAGCTCATTCTTTCTTTCAACAGTTTTCATCTTAAGTGTTCTGTTCTGTTACCAAAAAAATAACACGTTTTATATAGACCCTTTTCAAATTTTGTTAAATACGATCTTGTCAAAACTCTCTTACACTTTATGCCTTGACTTTCAACAACTAAGACAAGACTAATTCATATTCTAATTTATCGATAACCTAACCTAACCTAACCTAATCTAACCTAACCTAACATATCATCTCTTTAGCTTATCATCTAACTTCGCATTGTACATACCACTATTACTGCAATAAGGAGCATCACTACCAGCGAAAAAACATCAACACACATCCACCAGCAACAGCAATGACTTCTCCATAACCCTAATCTTCACCATTATAACCACTATCACTACCACCACCACCCCCTACCACCATCACCACCACCCCTACCACCATCACCACCACCACCACCCCTTACCACCATCACCACCACCACCACTGCCCCTGCCCTTACCACTACCGCCACCCCCTACCACCACCAATGCCACCACCACTGCCACCACTGCCACCACCACCACCACTGCCACCACCACCACCACCCACCACTACCACTGCCCCACCACCACCACCACCCTGCCCCACCCCCACCACTACCACCACCACTGCACCCACCACCACCACTGCCCCACACCACCACCAGTGACCCCACCACTACCACCACCACTGCCCCTACCACTACCACCACCACTGCCCTTAGTCCCGGGGTTCCAGAAGGCATTTGTCAGGAGGGCGCATGGGGCCAATCTTGTCGACATCTTGTGGGATTAGCGGACGTAATGCTGGCGGTGGCTGCCCCTCCCTCACCTCCAGATGTATTTGCCGCTGCCTCTCTGGAATTCTAAGGTCCTAAGAGACGGAGGGGAGGGGAAAAAAATCGGGAAGGGATTTCCGAAAGTCTCCTTTGACTCGTGGGTTCCATAAGAAAGTGAGAGACAGAGAGAGAGACAGACATAAGCGTCGATTAATGAGACTGTTGGTGTCTTGTGAAGGTGTTGGACTGTGCTGGTTGGTGTCGTTTAGATCCACTGGTGCTCAGGCAAGCTGTGTGTGCGTGCGTTCAGGCCATTCCTTATTTTCACTATAGTCCGATTATGCAGTAACTAAATAAGCATCTTATTTAGGACAATATGCAGTTGAGTCTACAAGGTGAAAGAGAGAGGCGTGTGGTCACCTCCAGCACGAGATCTTAATGAAACTGTTGTGTTTTGATAAAAGGTATCTGGTAACATATCTGCCAGGAGACAGACACACACGCAGGCACACACGTAAGAGTCTTGGTGTTTAATGTATGGAAGGCAGCGACAACAGCCATAGCCACACAGAGAAAGACAGACAGACACAGAGAGAGAGAGAGAGAGAGGCAGTCACGCGCATACACATATACATACGCACACACACACACACACACACACACAAACCTCTCTTTAGTGATATCAATCCTGAAAAACATCACTTTTTATCACCTTTAGACACTTAATTACCAAGTCACATGCAACACCATCTACAGGAGGACACTGAAGGCTGGGGTGTTCCTCCCTCCACGTCACTCACCCGCTGTGTCTATTTATACACCTGTCTTAAATTTTTAATCCGTGTGATGATTTTTTTCTTAAGTCTAATTTTTCATAGGTGACTTTTTACATGTTCAATTTTTTATGCATATTATTTTTTTTTACTTTTTTATACAACTATTTTTATTATATATACGGGTAGATTATTTTTCTTATTCATTTTTATTCATTTACCCTAACTGTTTTCTTCCTTTTTTTTATTTGCTATTTATTTTGTTTCGTTTGTTTCCCTTTGTTTTTTAATTTGTTGTATTTAATAATTTTCATATTTTAATCTCTTATTCTTTAGCTTTATTGGGACAGTTTTGTTGGTTCTTTTTATATTCGTTTTTGTGTATTTTTGTCTATATATTTCTTCTTTTTACATTTTTTTTCAAGGACAACGATGATCATTTTTTTATTTCTACATTAGCAAGGAAACAAGTACCATTACTGCATTATTAATAACACGCGCACACGTACGTACACGCACATATATGCTGGTTTACATGTATGAATGATTTACCTCGTGATCCTTGACGCTTAGACATTCAGAAAGATTCCTTTAATCAATGACTTTCAAATTGGATATTCACCCTAGTTCTCGCTGCTTGGCGTCGACTACTGCGTGTATGTGTGTGGTTGTGAGTGAGTAACAGCTTTAATGAAGTTAAGAAACGTATATCACTTTTAAATACGTTTACCTGTCCATTCATCACCAGCAATAATAAACACCAAAACATCAGAAGGATACAACATACAAATTAATTTCTCTAGCGGTTTATTCAAAACTTTACAATAATCGACCTATGTGGATTCACACACTATCTACAAATGTATCTCAATGAAAATCATAACATTTAATATGTCAGTGTTCAATATATTCATCATTTGTTCAGTGTCTTGGTATTACGATGTGATGCTCGGAGCTGTAAGCCTTCGGTCCTACAGTGTTAAATGGGATAATAATACAAATTACAAAAAAGGAGCTGTAAGCCTTCGGTCCTACAGTGTTAAATGGGATAATAATACAAATTACAAAAAAAGGTTTCCCTAAGCTATACATATATAACATAAATAGTATTCATTATAGGTACAGTGTGAAGAAGACGAGAATTATATAGAGAGGACATACACACGCACATATAATATCAATAATAAACGAGAGAGGGAGACGGAGAAAGAGAGACAGACGGAGAGAAAGAGAGACAGACAGATAGAGAATGAAACATTATGTACAAATATATAAACCAAAAATATCATTTAACTCACAGGGCTAAACAAAAGTGGATTATCAACCTCCTCACTCACTGTAAGGCCGAAGGCTCACACACACACACACTCCATCAGCACCACAATACGCAGTATGTTGAGCATAAACTTTATATTAAGACCCCCGTTCATGTACAAGTGTTCCCTCACCGTCACTCAAGCATCTAATGGATAACAACGCCACACCTGCAGCGCCTTCGTCAAATAGATCACATGACGCTAACAAGATAATCAAATAACTCTTTATATAATTTTAGAAATCAGTAAATTGAATAAATATTGATGCTAATATGGAAGCAGGTGTTAAATGTTGATCCAGTAAATGCTTCAAGTTGTCAGGGTGAGAGAGATAAAGAGACAGACAGACTCCTGTTCTAAGTCTCCAAGTCACGGGAGATGAACAATACAGTCGCCATGTTTACAGGTATAAAAAACTGCTGAGGGAGAGTCCAGGTACAACTCTCTCCTAAACTTTTTACACACACACACACACACATCATCTCCTCCTCCACATCAGAACATTTGCAACGTCAGGCATATATTTTATTGGTTTCTGTTCTTGTTATTCATCGTCCGTCGCGTATAACAAGTTCTTCTTTAAATAACTCTGTTTACAATGAACATCACCACCGCCGCCGTGACGTTCTGACTCAAAGGAAATACTTTAATAGTAGCCACTTTCTTCACCAGTCTCAAGTAACCAGATTAAGAAATTTGTATTATTTACCCTTAACTATTATAATTAATAATAGGAGCCAATAATTATAGTGGTATTATACATATATATTACCATTTTGAATTTTTTTCTTCATCTTTCTAAAAACAAACACTTGTATACATCATAAATAGTGAGTATTCATTTCTGTACACTGGGAAATATAATAAGAAATAAAAACAACAATAAAAATAAAAGTTAACGATGATAACGAATTGATATAGTTGATTTTTATTCACAAATACAAGAGAGAGAGAGATAGATCTATGATCAATGAAATTAAATATAAACCAATAAAGATGAATGCAATGAAAGAGAGAGACAGACGAAGGAATTAACCCGTAAAGAAAAAAAGAAGATAAACAATAATATCATACACGTAAAGATGACCAATGTAAGACTGAAATATATTTTGATTACAATAGTTTGATGCTATGCTTCTGGGTACAGTATATCATGTACACGGACACGACTGCTATCACCTCTACACCTCACACTCAGCGGGAGCGTCACAGCCTCGGAGACCACCCAGAGTACTTTGTTGTACTTGTCCTTTGTACGTACACTCATACCTTGATAGTCATATTATAGGAACGAAATGTGTTTAGTGAGCCTTATAAATGAAAAAAAAGTTTTGTTAATTTGTACACTTTCAGTTTGACAAGTCTCATTATTGGAGGAAATTGACAGTATTGGGTTGAAGAGTGTTTCTTTTTGTATGTTTTTAGGTTTTGTGTATTTGTGGTATTTTAGACAGTATATAATCGTATAAGAAAGAGGAATATTTTTTCATGTATGTAAACAAAGGAATATTAAAGCTTGTATTTATCATTCATATCTTTAAAGGTGAATTACCCAGGGAGTAAAGTGTTAATCAAGCTGAAGGGCAATGATCACTTAACATCGGGTTAATTAAATCCGACAAGTTTAACTGATCGATCTTGACAATATTCTGACACAAAGACCATTATCATGACGACAGCTTATAAAACTGAACAAATTCTTCTGATTACCATATTTATTTTTTATTATTACAATGTTATTTATAATATATTGCTGTGTTTTTAATTTGTTTTTTGTTCTGTGCTTTATTTATTTTTTGTTCTCGATTTCATGAAAGATTTTTATTCGTAATTAGTTCTCAATTACACTGGTGAGGTTCAGTCAACTTTTCGTATGCTTAAGGGAAGGTAAAAAAATTCTACATCTATATTTTGAGGTTCATATATGACCCAAGAAATAACTCCCTACAAAACAAACCCCAAAAATAATACGTAATTCCACGAAACATTACAGCAACTATAACTGCGTGACTATTTAAAATTCTTAACCTATTTTCCTTTTTTTTACATTTAGATTTTTTTAACATTATCAACAACAGCGAACTCCCACCCTGGTTTATTTGAGAGAGTGTGAGGCACATAAGAACGAAAGTCTTAGTAATATACCCTGTTTTCCGACTCTTACTTGACGTACTGACGACGCCTTCACTAACACACAGTAATGTTTCTGTAGTTCACTAAAATCACGCCACAGTAAGTTGACTCAACCTCATTCAGTTGCTTGTATTTTATGGTGCTCTTTCATGAGTTATTTATGGATTATGTGCGTGTGGGTGCGTGTGAGTGTGTATGTTTGTGGGTGGGTGTGAGTGTTGGTGTGTGTGTGTGTGTGTGTGTGCTTGCGTGTGTAAGAACATGCATACAACACTATCTTCAATATTCAAGAAAGGGATAAATTCCAGGCGTTCAGTACTCACATACCACGCGAACACAGAGTGAGTGAAACCCTACCTAGAGGTCGTATACAATCTTTACCACACAATGACACAGTTCACCTCCGGACCTAAATACCCTCCTGGGAGCCATAAACACCAACCCACCACCGGCAGTAAACTCCAAACTCCTTTTTACAAGCAGGGAGAGGCGAAGGTCATCTCAGGTCAGGGGGTCAGGTCGCGAGCTCAACAGGTCACGGGAACACTGGTTTAGCCAACGCCCTTTTATGTTCACTCCGACACTGGGACTGTATTTTTTCTTCACGTTTATACCGCTAATTTGAACACAGAAATTTGGTAAGTTTATAAGTGGTGTAGGCGGAAGTACTAGGGAAGTACGGTGTAGTGAAGACGTGGGGCACTGAGGAGGGGGATGCCGTTAGTAGTGTTAGAGGAGGTACTGGGGAAATAACAGTAGTAGAGAGGGAGGGGGAGAGACAGAGACAGACAGAGAGACATTAAGAGAGAGGAGGGGAGATAGGGATTAGGAAGGAGCAGAGAAAGATTAGGGAGTACTGAGAGTAATATGAAGTGAAGGATTATGGAGTATCAGTCGTAGTGTAGAGAAAGAGAGCATAAATCCCTCACCTCCTACGCTCACCCTTCGGACTAGTTATATGTTAAAATTCTATGGCCTTTGAAGTAGGATTATCACTTGCAAGTTAGTCCAGCGAGGCGTGAGAAACTGGTGAGTTGCAACGTCATGGAAAATACACTCTCCCCCAACACCACCTTCCCTGTGTCGTGTGTGTGTGTGTGTGCGTGCGCGTGTACCCTTTCAAAAGCCTACGCCAAGTTAAAACAAATCTGGGTTTTGTTTTGTTATTTTTAGGGGTTCACTTCGGGTTCTTTATTTAACATTTTGATCATCTGAGGTTCTTTGGGTTTAGACTCGTGTAAAGTCGACTCCGAGATCTTGACGCTCCACTCCATGTGATGTTCAATATTAATTTATTGTTTTTGTCAGTTTTTTATTATTTTCTTTGGAACACTCTACGTACAATATACTCGAGGGGGAAACATTACTATTGCTATCTCTCCGAAAGCGGATTCTATAAGTCTCACTTTTTATATCTTTATTTAATTTCTCTGAAAATATCTCTACGTACCAATTTGTCCTTAGGAGATAAACAAAAATTAAAACAAAAAAAGGAGAGTTCAAAAGGTTGGTATTAGAGGTGCACAGTGGCCAAAGGGTGCACAATGGCCAAGGGTGCACTGTGGCCAAGGGTGCACTGTGGCCACACCATAGCGGTCCACGAGGCTTGTGTATAACTCTAAGCAGCACAAACACACACAACCCTGAGATAAGTATCATTTCTTTCACAATCTTGGGCGGCGACTGATGAGCCAGGGCCGAGCAAACACCCGAACGTCGGGCTCCACCGGCAGGTATGGGCGGGCCAAGCCTCGTTATTTGTACGCCACAACACGGGGGCCGCCCGCCGGCTGGCCACCGCCGCCACTACAGGAGCAGGGAGGAGTAGGATGGGGAGTGGGGTAGGGGGGCAAGGAATGGCTCTGGGCTGAGAGGAGGTCGTGCAGGACAACAGCAGCAACAGCAGCAGCAACAGCAGCATCAGAGCAGCAGCAGCATCAGGACTAAGCCGGGAGAGTCAGGAGTACACTAGAGCAGGTAAAGCTACTTGGGGAGGAGGTGCTGGGCGGGGCACCCCAGGCGGGCCACGCTGGCCAGCCTTATAGCGTGGTGAGGCCATAGTCAGGCTTCATGGCTCCGTGAGGGTACGGTGCTGAGATGGGCGTCAGGCCAGGTGGCATCATGCCTCCTCCCATGTGCGGGTAGCCAGGAGGGTGGCCGGCTCCCGGGTGCGGGGTGCCCTGCTGCTGCTGTTGTTGCTGCTGCGCCGCCTGTTGTTGTGCTGCTTGCTGTTGTGCTGTCTGTTGTTGTTGCTGCTGCTGTTGGGTGTGCTGCTGGTCTTGTGTGGCGGGGTTCTGGGTGGTGTTCTGGGTCTGACTCTGGTTCTGTTGCTGATTCTTGGGCGTCACGGTGGTGGTGACGCCCGCGGGGTTGGTCTTTCTCCTCACGTTCTTGGTGTTGGGTAATTTGTTGTCCTTTTTCCATTTCATCCTCCGGTTCTGGAACCAGATTTTGATCTGTCGCTCTGAGAGACACAGCGAGTGGGCGATCTCTATCCTCCGTCGCCGCGTCAGGTAGCGGTTGAAGTGGAACTCCTTCTCCAACTCCAGTATTTGGTGTCTGGTGTAGGCCGTCCGCTGCCGTTTAGGTTCACACCCCGGCTGGAACTGACCATTTGCTGCAAAGAATAACAAAACAAACTAACTTATGGATACAATGAAAAGGCAAAAAGAAGACAAAGAATTAAAAAAATTTCCCGTGACGCTTCTGGCAACCATGACCCCCCCCCCCCCCATCCGAAAAAAAACACAACTAACCTAGGCTCCCCCCGTGAGGATATCAGACACGAGGCGACCATTACAGGACCCTCGGCTGGAATCCTACGCCCCATGAGACCAGGGATAAAGGAAGGGGGGGGAGGGGGTAAGATTCTTTCTCTACTCTGTGATCCTAGGACATTAATGGGCAAGTCTTGTGAAAACCACTAATTGGACAGGATTTCCTTGGACGGGGCTGTAAGTGCGGGTCATCACTGGCAGAGTTCTCCAGCCAATCTATTTATTCTATCCCATTTTCTATATAATCTTAAAGTTTCACATTTATAGACTTGTAAATTGTCAAATATAATAATGATATAAAAAAGCATTATTCCTTTGGCTAGCTAAAAATAAACTTGTACATCCTGCAGATATATTATAAACAATAACGTCCTAACCTAACCTAACCAAAATACCCAAATCCTTCTGTTTTCCTCTTCCAGTTGGTAAATGATAAATTACGAAAATAAGATTCACTTACCGAACAACGTCCCCGCTCCTTCTGCAAAGAGAGTAAAAAGAATGCGAAAATTATATGGAGTTTTGTTTTTTCCGGAAATTTTGGATCCTTATATTATAGTCTCAGGTAAGAAGGTGTACCTGAGACTAACATTAAAACAGGCTTATTATTATTATTATAATTTATTATTATTATTATTATTATTATTATTATTATTATTATTATTATTATTATTATTATTATTATTATTTCACTTACAGCCCCGTTCAAGGTTGGGTGACTCAGCTTCAGATAAGTGTGTGTGTGTGTGTGTGTGTGTGTGTTAATGGGTGTGTTTGTAAATGAATGTATTTGCGTGTGTGTAAATGACTGTGTTGTTGTGTGTAAGTGGATGTGTTTTAAGTGTGTAAGTGGGTATGTTTGTGAGCAGAAGTGTGTGTGTGTGTGTGTGTAATAATAATAATAATAATAATAATTAACGGTTTATTGAAAGAACTTGGCAGCCAGAAGGCTGAAAATATACAGTTACATATTTGGGGAATGGGTTTCGAATTACAAATAATATACAAGTAACGTAAGTGATATAAATAAGATATATAATAACTAGGAAGGGAAAAGCTCAAACTACAGTGCATTTCAACATAGTGACAGTGCACGGAGTAGTGTTTACTGGGAGTGAATACACTGGTCTATTACAATTTATTGATAATTTTTACAATGGTTGGGACTGGGCTGTTCTTATAGCGATCAGTTCGTGCACGTATGGGCTGGATGCGGTTGTGGTGTCGAACAGCAATTCTCGGGCTAGGGATCTCAGGTGGTAGTCGGAGCCGGTGTCGAGGATGGTGTAGAAGCTTCTTACCAAATTTGCAGATGAGGTCGTGGTGATGGTCAGTGAGAGTCGAAAGGGTCAGTGTGTTGAGCGCTTCTTGATATGTGGAGTAGGAAGGGGCGAGAATAATCTTGCATGCCCTCTTTTGCACTTTTCTTCTTACGTTGTGTGGCATTTAGGGAGGAAGACCAGGTGGGGGAGGCATAGGTGAGCTTGGGAAGTATGAATGTTGTGTGTGTGTTTGTGTGTGTGTAAGTGACTGTATTAGTGTGTGTGTAAGTGACTGTGTTGGTGTATGTAAGTGGGTACGTTTGCGTCTGTGTGTTTGCGTTTGTGAGTGTGTTTGTCGGTTACAGGTGCTGAATAGACTAAATCTAAAAGTACCTAACATTTAGAATCAATATTGACAGGATAATAAGGGAACAGTCCTAACTTATCCTAACTTTAACCATCCACAAAACAAAACCTTAAACTCCAATTTGTTTAGCGATTAAAATTCTAAATAAGTCAGTTTTCTCATCAGCTAAACCTCTTCTCACTTAAAACTGAACTATAAAAACCTACTAACTTGAACCTATCCTTGCTTGAACCTAACTAGCAAAAACCTATTGTCTTGATCCTAACTTACAAAACCTCCTTCCTTGAACCTAACTAGCAAAACCACCTTCCTTGAACCTAACTAGCAAAACTTATTTTCTTGAACCTAAACAAGCAAAACCTTCTTCCTCTTCCTTGCAAAAAACCTAACTAGCAAAAACTTATTTCTTTGAACCTAACTCGAATCTAAACTAGCAAAACCTAAATTCAAATTAACATATATTGAACTAGTAGGACCACAGCTACCATCACCTAATCTGAACTAGTAAAACTAATCTAATTTCTCCATCACCCAGCTAGTAGGCGTGCGTTTGTATTCAGTTCTTTGGGTTGTGTCTGAATTACACCCAGCTAGTAGGCGTGCGTTTGTATTCAGTTCTTTGGGTTGTGTCTGAATTACTGTATTATAAACAACACATGCTATTAATACTTGGGAAATCTTCCTTGTATTCTATAACTTGAGTTTTAAAAGTGTATAATAAGTCTAAATATGTATATTAGTATGTTATAAATAGAATAATATACATTGTTTATATGTATGGTAATGGTATTGTGCATTCTAAGGCACAAAATCAATATCTAGGCAAGAGTATTTAAAATTAATTATCAACTCACACACATACATAATAAAACAACAGTCAAAACACATAAAGCAGAATTTCATGCAGTAGAACATACACACACACACACACACACACACACACACACACACACACACACACAAACAAACAAACAAGAGTAATGAATCTTTGAAATATACTGAATGTTCAAATCATCAACATATCCAAAATCGATTCATCGAGAAAACACACATTTCGTATTTATAAAACACCAAAGCTAAGTATAAAAAAACAAAAGGATAAAACAAACACAATTTTTCATATAACATTTTCTCGAAAATAAAATAGTTACATAATAAGAAAAACAAGTGGTAATAATATATATATAAAAGCGCATTCATTAAGCAAGCAAAAGTCAACACAACAAAGCCACACTCAAAAGTCAAGACAACAAGGTGCTTTAATTTGTAGGGAATAGTGAAATTTAAAGGAAAACATCTCATTTACAGGGAGCAATTAATTTTAAAGGGAACACCTCCATTTACAGTGTACACCTAAATTTTAACGTTTACATCTCTTTTACAGGAAGTATTTAATTTTAAAAAGAACACCAAGATTTAAAGGGAACACCTCCATTTACAGTGACCACCTAAATTTAAGGGGAACATATCTATTTCTAGGGAACACCTAAATATACAGGAAATCCCTAAATTTACAAGGGACGACGTTTTAATTCACAAAGATCACCTAAATTTACAAAAAAAAAACAAATATTATGGCAACTTTTCCCTCAAAGGTTTTCACTCTGTCAACATATTATCTGTAATAAAAATTTTCTTTTTCATCAACAAAGGTCAACCTCGCGCTGTCTGTCTATCTTACAAGCTTGTGACACACTGTTGAAACTTACTTGAGAATCGTCAATTATTTATTTAGAATTGGTTTAATATTTTCACTATACATCGATTATATTTATATTTTTTTCAAAGTTTATTTATTTTTTTCAATTTAAGTCGAATATTTTGACTGGGTTTTGTTAATGTTTGCGATATTTTTGTTACGGTTAGATTGTTTATGCGTTTTATATGTGATGAAATTGGTGTATGGTACTACTACTACTATTAATACTACTACTACTACAACATTGATGATAATAGTAATACAAAATAGAAAAATAATAATAAAGCTAATGTATGTTGATATTGGCTCATATTTTTTTGTTTCTATTTGCTTGAGAAAAATTACATTCCTTCATGTACCAAAACTTTGCTTCATGTTCATATATTACCCAAAGTGACGTCAATATCTTCAAGTTGCTTCAGTTACAAGTTTTATCTGTGTTATCTTATCTAGTTTGGAGTTATTATCAGTTTATTGTATTATCCATCGATTAATTATTATTTTTATTGTTGTATGTTCTACCTATATGAAACATGTGTACCTTGTGTAAAATAGAACTTATATGTTGTGATATCTAGTGAAAATAATTGATGATGGATTTTCCTTAAAACAACTCCGTTGTTTCCATTTTCCCGTGTGATTTTATCAAGATTTATCTTATCCACGTTTTCATTGTGGTTTTACATGAAATATATATATATATGTATATATATATATATATATATATATATATATATATATATATATATATATATATATATATATATATATATATATATATATATATATATATATATATTTTTTTTTTTTTTTTTTTTTTATTTATTTATTTATTTTTTTTTCTAACGTTTATTCAAATCCTTTTATTTGCAACTTGTTTATTCCTTCCCTCTACTAAACCTCGTTCATTTGTATCTTTTCAGAATGGATTATTTTTATATTTACTTTTCATATATTTTAATACTCAGTTAATCTTGTGTTCTCTGTCGAAATAAATGAATTGTTGTCCTGTTTTAAATCTATTTTATTTGTTTTTTATCGCCAGTACAAAGAGATTTAAAAAACAAACATTAGTGTACTATTTTCTGTTGTAAATGCCTCTGATTGTACTTTCATAATTATATTCAGATAAATAAAGTTTCACAGTTTTTGTAATAAAAACCCTATAATACAAATATGTAAATCAGATAATACATGGCTAATAACTACAAAGAAAATAATAATTACCATATAAAGCATCTTATAACATGGAGCTATAAATACCTATAATCAGGCGTTTTCTTAAATACTTTCCAATAATGTCTGCGTATTTTCATTTATCTAAGGTCTTTAAGCAGACTGTCTTTTTTCTATTTAAATTTCGTAAACCAAAAAGGACGGCCGTATATTAATGTTATAATGTATTACTACGCATCAGCAACTAAAGTCTTTAAGCGCGTATTTTAGGTAAACACACAGGGATATGTCTCCTTGGTTGATGGCGGGGGAATAACAATATGTGGCCTTCCAACCCTAGTAAAAACAAGGGGAGTATAAATTCAGTAACTTCAGATCCCCACCGGAGGAAATATATAAGTGAATAAACCGTTAGATAGGGCACTTGATCCCTTAAAATAAATCATTAAAAGGTTTAGTCCATTCAGATCCCCATTGACTCTATAGAGGGTTAAGTTTAAGGGTCAAAACTGCTATATAGTGCTATAATTCCCCAAAATGTCATTATTAGGACCTGTAATTTTAAGTCCCTCACCCGATCACCGTAACGCGAGGACCTGAGTCTATAGAGGCCGCTAGATATGGTCATAAGTCCCTGAAATAAGGAGAAAAATACCGATTGTCAGCCTCGTCTTAGGTAATGATGCGTTGTTTCTACTTATTTGGTTTCAACGTTGATATTCGTCTTGTGTTTTAAACTTATGGCGTTAACAATTCAGACGGACGCATGCACGAATGCTCCTAACGACGGACAGAAACTTTTAATTGTTTTATTCAATACGTCCAGGCCCTTGAAATTGGCTCTGAATTTTAACAGGGTAGTGTCTCATGTTAGTATATATCTGCCTTCTGTTATATAGGGCTAAGATATATAGATTTTAATATTCCCCTTAGCAAAATTGATGTGATATAACCTTGGATTAGATGAATATTTGGGA